AGTCACAAATAAACGAGACAAAAACACAGGTCACGGCTGTCTAAATCGCCCCAAAACCGCCAGTTTAGTTACCGGGCAAGGGTTTCCCGCCGACCACCCCGAGACGGTAATAAATCAGCTGTCAGCCGTGCAAGGTACCGTGACGGCAGCGGCACTCCCGGCGTGCCTCGGCCGTGCCCAGGAAACTTGATTCCAGTCATTTTCGATTAATTTGATCCCCAATATCTCCCGATCTAAAGATGCGATGTCTCCATGTGGGGTCTCATTTTAAAGGGCTACTTCAACCCGACAAGACGATATAATTTTCTCTTGTGTGCGTTCACTAGTGTTAATCCTGCTTGCTGAGAAATGCACTCTATCCTTTATTACTTTTAAAGCAACTTGCATCTATTTATTTTTATTTAAAGTCATTTTTCTCAATAATTGAGCCCACAATTAAATTTTTTCTCCTTGATTACTCTTGAGAAAATAGTACTGAGTTACATGAGGAAAAGAGAACATTGTACGTATTCTCTGTGATTCATAGTGACCGATTTTGTGTAGACCTTGGAGTGTGAAAGTACCCCATCCTCGTTCCCCTTGTTTGGATTTCTTCTGCTTTTTTGCTGTGGAGTATTGGAACATTAATATTCCTAATGGAGTGCCATGATGAAGCGTCCCATGTTCGGTATATTCATGAACTTTGTTGAACATGTGGTGGTAGAAGTCTATCAGGAAAACAGAAATTGCAAAAGAGAAAAGCGTACAAATGCATTGACTTTGCACACGATATCTTGTTGGTATTTGGGGTTACGATAGCAGTTGATGAAAGGAGTAAACATTCTTTGACCATATGTTATGCCTGTACCAACAAGATAAAGCGCAGTAGGACCCATTCGTTTGAGAGAACTATAATAAACGCAAGAAAAGCAGCTGAAACCTCCTCAAATTTGTGGACAGCTTTTCGGTCTGATATACGCGCTAGTGACTGTTCGATATGCACACACTATCATCGCACATCAATGGGGAGCAAGAACACTCCAATAGAATTAGTAACAACGAAAACATCGGAAGCTACAAAAACAACACATTCACCACATAGATCTTCGTTTGAAGACTCGGCAAACACAACAAGTAACTCAACTGCAGAGCGATCTACACACACAGAGGACAATACTAGTCATGAAGAAAGACAGGACGAAGACATCGCATCTCTCGATACTAGCGCTGCATCATCAACCACAGGCCACAGTGAGTTTGAGCTTCAACTCCCCCCTATTGCTACATCCACGCCATCCAAACCTACACAGCTAATGGTAGATAGCAACACTTCAAGTCTCCCTATTGCTACATCCACGCCATCCAAACCTACACAGCTAATTGTAGATAGCAGCACTTCTTCAGCATTTAAACACGACAAACTCTTCTCTGTCTCTAGAGATCTCCCCAACGCGACCACTAACAAAAGAAGAAAAAAACTTAATACTCATTTAGTTAGGAGAAAATTAAAAAATTCAAGTACCAATACGATTCAGTGCAAAACAAGAGGACAACCCATAGTACTCACAAAACTTATAAAGGCCAGAAAAGAAACATCAAGGATCATAATTTTCTGTGATTCTGCATTCAAGCTTCAATATCTTTGCTTTGACGGAGCGTACAATGATGCCACCACGTGAGTGTTTACTTTATCCTATTTTCATCATATTTCCTTAATTTTGTCAAAATCAAAAGCAAAGATCATGTTCAATTTTTATTTAAAACATCAGACCCCTTTACAACTTTGCATAATTGCTATACAGTTTTATGGCATCCGTATGTCTGCAACAGTACCCAGTACAGTTTCACGATCGCTTCTACGTGCCCACACTATATTGATCGTTCAGTGTGTGTGATTTTCTGTGAGATCACTAGAATAGTTTTTGTTTACAGTCTCAGTTTATATGCTTAAAAAACATCGTGTGAAAAGAAAACAACGGTAACTCGGCATCGGCAGTGAACCGGCGGCGCTGACCCGGTGACCGCGGTCACAGAGTATCGGGTTACGGGGAGTGCCGCGGGCTGGCGGTTTGACTAAGTTGGCGGTCGGTAACAGCCGTGAGGTACTAGCGTTAGGGAAATGGAAATCAACAAGTGGAGAACCGCTTCATGCACACCTTGTGCAAGAAATTAAGATTTTTGGAATTCACTATAAGAAAAGTAGAAATCAAAACCCCCAAAACTCGTGGACGAAGTTGGTAGACAAAATACAGAAACGCCTAAATCAACTTTATTACAAACAAACTTCAATTTTCGGCCGTAGCTTACTTGTAAACACCCTCGTCCTGCCGCAAATAAATTACCTCACGCAGACACTAGACCCGCCACAACAAATCATTAACAACATCAACACACACATCCGACAATTTATCTTCAAAAGCACACCTAGACACATCAGACACACAACACTAATACAAGACAAACACAAGGGGGAGGGGTGAGCCTACACGACATACGGACAAAAATCCAAGCATACAGACTCCAGTACATGAAAAAAGTCATAGCGGACAAAAATAAATACAAAATAGCTCACTACTACCTCGGCCCACGCCTCAGTAAACATACACCGTTAGACAACACAATACCACACTACTTCGGCACATTACCAACATTTCACAAAAACGCACTAGCCACACTGAGACAACACGGTGAGCTAAACAAGACCACTCACAACACAAAAACCACATACAAGGCTCTCGTCCTCCAAAAAGCAACAGCCTTATACGAACAAATACTCAGGGGAAGAAGATATGCTCTTATCGACTTTTCGGAATCCTTTAAAAACCTCTTTATTAAATGCACCACCCCCCTTCAGAAACAAACCATCTACCGTATCCTTTACTCGGTCACTCCGACATCGGAGGGACAGAGTAAACGGATCAACAAAATTATCCCCTGCAGAACATGTAAGAAAAATATTCAAGAAACAGAAGAGCATGTCTTCTTCTCATGCCCACACATACAACCCATCAAACAAGCACTTACAAAAATGTTAGCCGCACCGCACAACACACCAGTAGATATATATAAAGCAATTTTTCTCAACATAATACCAACAGAAGACAACGATACACACACAGTCAAACTACACATCCTAGCACTATACAGGGACACGGCATGGCAAACCCGCCTACAGACAACTTTCAACAACACCCACCACACACCCACCACCATCATGCACATGTACACACACAAACTTACACACTCATTAACCAAACACAACCAGTGGGCAACTTTTGAGCGAATGACGAGCTGAGCTGTGGATGGAGAGACAGTGTGAGTGAAAGAACGGGCGAAAGGGAATGTAAGAGTGCATCCACAGGCGACGATCAACTAACAACGACACCAACCCTCTGGCCTGGTCCACAGCTCACGAACGAAAGAAAAGATTGGTTTTTTTGTCCATGGTACGCAGGGTGAAAGGGAATGAATGAAATTTCCTGTGTGTGTGCCTGGGGGAGGGGGGGGGTGTGTGAAAGTCATGCGGACGGGGATGAGCCGCGGGAGAGAACACGGGAATTGAATGGAATGAGTGAAAGAGAGGGACGACTCATGAGCCCTGGAGTGAATGGATCCTGTGTTTCTATTTTTGTATTGTTACAATAAAGGCTGAAATAAAGCCCAAAAAACAAACAAACACAAACACACACTCCTCACTCCCCATTTACACACTCACCACTACACACAGACACACCCACACATACACATGCATACACACACACACACACACACACACACACAAAAAAAAAAAAAAAGTAATGTGTTCTACTCTCCTAACCCTCTGCCGGGGCTATTTCACTACAGGTCTCACTGTCTACATGGACAATTTTTACACGAGCTGCACCCTGATGACGGACTTGCAAGTGAGAGGAATTCAGGCAGCTGGTACAGTTCGTGCTAACCGGAAAGGCCTGCCCACTATTCTCCTGCCCAAGACTGCGAGGTTGGAGAAGCACCAGTACCGAGTGGCCCAGTACAACGAGCTGAGTTTTTGTAACTGGATGGACACCAAGAACGTCATGGTGCTGTCCAACTTCCACTCTCCTGAGGCTAAAGGAACGGTGAATCGACGCTCAGGGCACCCACAGCATTGAAGAGTGGAGGTGCCGGCTATGCTCTCAGACTATCAGAGGCATATGAAGGGAGTAGACCTCATGGACCAGATGGTGGGGTAGTACTTACTGAACCACAGGTACGTACTATGATGTAATGTGAATATATTGGAAATACTATTTGCCACACTATTTTATGGATGACAATATGATCCTATTTTCACTTCACAGCGTACTTTTTTAGATATCCAATAATAGTAATCTCGCAGAGGGACATTTGTAGTGTTGTTCAGATCGACCAACTGTTTTGATATTGTTTTCATGCGTAACATTTTCCTTCACAGCCATCTTTGTTTTCTCCTGTATGAAAAGTAGCCTTTCACTCCCACCCCTCTGTTCCTCCCTTTTCTGTCTATACATCAGGTCGAAGAAATGGAGGCGAAGGCTATTTTTTTATCTTGCGATGGTGTCTGCCCTCAGCGCTTACAGACTTCGGCAAGCATGCAACCCTGGCCGGAAGTACTCTGGGTTTCAGGACTTCATCAAGGATCTTGCCGAAGGCCTAATTGGAAACTTCACCAGCGACAGGGACCCCGACACGCCAGGCTCTTCCGGCAACAACCATGATGTGGTGAACCTGTACGGTACCAAGAGAAAGGTATGCCATGTTTGTCGGGAGAATAATCCAGGGCAAAGGGCCGAAGCCATCAATTTTGTTGCAGGCAGTGCAACAAGCCAGTCCACGAGAAGTGCGCACGGGCACACACCGAGATGCAGACCAGCCGCCCTTGATGACATCCGAGAAGGAAGGATTCAGCACCCGGACCCACAACAAGGAGGATCAGCCGAAGAAGATAAGTGCCCAGTGTAATTTTTTTGTATTCAAGATTGTCGGGGTTTTTTTTTAAATTGTGTCTGTGCTTTTGTGGGTTATTGTGTTTTCACTATTGTATTGATGACAATATGATCCTATTTTCACTTCACACCGTACTTTTTAGATATCCGATAAAAGTAATCTTGCTGAGGGACATTTGTAGCTTTGTTCAGATCGATTAGTTGTTTTTATATAATTTACATGCGTAACATTTACCTTCACAGCCATCTTTGTTTTCTCATGTACGAAAAGTAACCTTTCACTCCCTCCCCACCTTTCGTCTATTTTCCGTCTATATTTCAGGTCGAAAAAATTGCTTTTTTTTTTGTTTTGATTATTGTGTTTTCATTTTGGATGTGAATTGTGAGTAAGCATCCACGGGTAAGTAGGGCCTGTTTTTATTATTCAACGTAATGACGTAATGACGTGTGACATATTAACATTTTATTTGTTGAGGGTTTTTTTGTGTAATAAATCCTAACAGTTATTCAAAATCTATGTATTGTGGAAACAGTTCATATTCAGTATGTATGCATTGAAAAAAGGAAATATTGTCATTGTTTCATGGTTTGAGGGGTCGTTCCTGTATGTCGAAAATGCGTTTCAAACAGATTCAGTCATTTTTGAAAATCTCAAATCCATACACTTCACTGAGCAAGAAAATGATAAACTTCGTAAACTTTGATTTGTACACGACTTTTTACAGCAGAAATGTATGAAGTTATGGCAGCCAAATGAATTTGTCAGGGTTGTTGAAAGAATGGTAAGGAATAAAGGCAGGTGCGGTTTCCGACAGTACATCAAAGACAAGTCTACGAAATAGGATATGAAACTTTAGGTAGTGACAGACTCTGAAACTGGTTATACTCATGACAGGAGTAAGAAATGACAGCAAAAAGTGCGATATCTTGAAAACTAATAAAGCTTTTTTGATCATTTCAAAAACAAGATTATCTGTGGACATTCCAGAATAAGAAAATGTAATAAAATGGACACCCCCCCCCCACCCCCCCAAAGTGCAATCTCGTCCCTTTTTGCAGAAAGCTTTACAATATAGCTTTTCTGTTGACACATCCTTTAGTAGTCATTCCATTTGGTCAACATGCCCAAAAATCATCTATTTAAAACAAGTACAAATAAAAATTCTTTAAAAATCACAACCTAAATCCCTGAGAGCCTTGACCCAATACAAACTGTATACCAGAAGTTGGAACATCCAATACTACAAGGACATTTTCCGCCCACATATTCTACAAAAAGGGACTCAAACATTCGAACTGACAAAGTAACTGTTGACCTGAAAGTGAAGCAGCGAACAGTCTTGTCTGATGAATGGTGAAGCAGCGTGCAGGCCCATCAGATGCACGGTGAGGCAGCGACAAGGTCTGTCAGATGCATGATGAAACAGCATGAAGGTCCGTCAAGACGTAAGGTGAACAGCATGAAGATCCGTCAAGACGCATGGTGTAACAGCATGAAGGCTGGTTGGACGGTGTCAAATGTTACCAAAAACAAAGTGGCACTTTTCACAGCTGTCTATCCATCCAAACCTGAAAACAAAAATAATAATAAGGCAACCTGTCTGAAAGTTTCTTCAATTCCAAACAAAAACAGAAGCATGGCATGATGAAGAGAGCAATTACGATTTTCTAGTGCACAGAAAACAATAGGCCACACACATAACAATTGGGAGGAAGGGAAAGAAGGAGGACCACCTGATAGCTGCCAATTTTTCAAAACTTAACTAAAAAAAAAAAAATCTACATTGCGCAGCAAGTCAAAATGGTGCGCATTCGACAAGTAGACAAGAAACCACCCCCTCCCCGAACCCTTCACAAGCATTTTTCTACATGAAATGAATTTGAACTATTCCAAGCAGACCTGCAACATTTACAAAAGAGTTTCCTTCGCTTTATAATTCCCAAATCCTGATTTGATAGTTCATAAATTTTCTTCAGCATTAGATGGTCTGAGGAGGAGCAATATCAGAAATTGGAGAAAACGTATTCCCTGATACAAAAATCTTATTTACATACTCAGACCCTCAAAATTCTACTATGTATATTGTATGGGTTTCTTTTTAATGCACTATTTGGCAGCTATGCAACATTAATTTCTCACACCCCATTACGGAGATGTGGGAAAAATTTTTTAGCAAGGCACTGAAATATTATGCCAAAAGCAACCTTTTTAGAGGGCATTAATAATAGTAATAATAATAGCATTTGTATAGCGCATATCCCCGCTCAACAGCAGGCTCTATGCGCTTTACACTATATTATTACCCCAGCAGACCATAGAACACTCCGAAACATTCTCAGCTTCCCGGGAAGCATACAGTGCCAGCAGCCGATTAAGCGCTCAAACACTAACAAACTGACAAGATCCTCAAACACTAACAAACTGACAAGATCTTTCGCTGTCTATAGCCGGGTACCCATTCCCACCTGGGTGAAGTGAGGAAAATTCGTGTGAAGTGCCTTTCCCAAGGACACAACGTCGGGCCCCTGATGGGATTCGAACCCACGACCTTACGGTTGCGAGTCCGAGAACCTACAGGACAAGCACTAAAAATAAAGGTAAGTACTGAAAGTAACGCTTTCAGGGCAATAAGAAATCAGTTATTAGTGAGATGCTGAGCAATCTGAGGTCCCATAGACTGTTGAGTTGGCTGTGCTGAGCCAGATGGCTAAAGGTTCCTTTTCAGGGTGTTTGTAGGAGAGGCTGAGGAAGCTAAAAATGCCTACAACTCAAATTCCATAATTTTGAGCCGAATTTGTACTAGTAGCCATCGTTTCTCCGAGAATCTGGGTGGTTGGCGGGTGCTCTAGTGTGGTTTGCACCTTCTTTTCTATCAAATGTCTACCATCCTTATTCTCCTCCTCCTCCTTTTTTGTGTTTGTTACTCTTTTGTAATACCTCTGACTGTTGGTACTGCATGACTTAATTGTGTTGCAAGTACTGTAACATTCTTAGTAAAACTAAAAGAAATCATTTTTTTTTGTGTGTTTGTTTTTTTTACAGTAGAGGGTTTTACGGTGCTCGCAACTGCATAAGGTCATATGAGCGCCAAGGGGTGGGTGTTAACAGAGAAGTCTTTACAGGGAATCAGACTTAGACTACTCACCTCTATAGCTTCAACAGCACAAGGTCTGCTTCGACTATCAAGGCAACCCGGAAATAGCAGGTGTCACAAGAGAGTGACAAACATACAAAAGAAGTAGAGGAAAATGACAATAGTAAGGATCAGGAAAGAAAAAAACAGCAGTTCTCTGTTGTAGATCAGGCACAGTTATGAGCGTGACAAGAGTCAGCCCATTTACAATTTTACTGTGCTTGAACGAGAAATGTCCCCCCTTTGGGAATGGCCTAAAGACACAACAGTCAGTCTGTGGCACTGCCCCAGGGGGTAAAAATCAGTTTACAAACCATTGACAGAGGATGGTTGGGGGTCGCACTGCTATGGTTTGCTCCCTCTTTCCTCCCACCAGTAAACATCTTACACTGTAGAAACTCATTGACATTACCTTACTGGCTGCTCTGTGGACTATTGTGTGTCTCTTCCCTAAAGTCTCCAGGCTGCGAGAGTAACCACCTCCAATCACAGTGGCAACGGGAATGCCCTGACTGATCAAGAAATCAATCACGTACTTGTCTCTCTTGTACAGACCTGAAAGGAAAGACAAGAAAATTGGTATTCTTGTTTTACTATTCGACTTTTAAAATTTTTTCAATGTTGGTGTTTTAAGCTCTCATCGACACACTTTAGAAATTTCTTTAATAAAATTATCAACCAAAGACATTGACATCTGTTTTCTAAATGAGACATATATTTACCAATTTCTAACTTTTGCAGTTTGTGTCACAGCTATCTGAATATTAACATTAACAGTTAATTTTATACCCTTGTTCCTCGGAATTTCAGTTTCACATTTTGTACCAATTCCCATATTTTTGCAACCGAAATTCAGTGCTGTCATAGTTATTTACATAGCATTACCACAATTTTTATAAAAACAAGTAGAATTAATATTAACTGACCAAGAACACAACCATAAATATTCCAACAGCAAACTGCTTTTTACTTTGGGAAAAAACAGTCCATTTTAACTTTAAAACATGATATGGTTGTTGTATGTATCGGAAATTAGGGGTAGTTTAGAGAAAATTGCTATATATAGAGGATTAAAGAAGGGGAAACAGAACCAAAATATTGATGAACTACAACAACCTATTCAATTTTAAAGTCCACGATTGGAATGAGCTGAAAATTAGTCATTTATGTATTTCAGGATCAGGACAACGAAATAGAAAATGAAAAAATTAAAGTTGGAATCCAATACTTACAGATAAATGTAAATAACCCATTGGGTGTGTGGCAAAGTTGCTTTTGAACGTCCCAACAAGGTGGCAAACATAAAGCCTACCTGTATCTGTCAGATCCAACCTTCCGAGTTCGTCATCCTTGTGAGGGTCTATTCCAGCGTCATAGATGACCAGGTCAGGATTGAAAGTGTCTACCACATAAGGTAAGACATCGTGTACCTCATGGAGATATTCCTCATCCTTAGAAGACAATAAATTAAATTCATTCATGAAAAAAAAGAGAGCAATTATTGTAGTCTGAGGATAAATTGTATAAAAGGCTCACACTACCTTTTCATAGTCATTTGCACCCCCAACATCACTTCACAATAAATCCCTTGTTTTGGGTGTTTATTGTTCCCAAACGTAGTTTTGAACCAAAAAGTAGGTCTAACTGGGGAGTCACCATCATAAGAAAAAGTCATGTTCCACTAGGAACAGATTACTAGGATTTATAGTACAAGGGAATACTACATCATGATTAAGGTGAGGCGAAAAAGCAGCATGAGGAGCTGACCACGAAAGAGCATATATCGACTAATCATCATCTGTTAGTGTGCGCCCAAATAAGATCTACACAATTTTTTAAAAAACCAAAATAACAACAATACATAAAAATACAGTCCAACTTGCCAAAGACGGCAACCCATGGCATTATCAAGGAGAATAGTGGTCATGAATCTGTCATGGAACCTTTCAGGTCAGCAGAGATAACCTACCTCCAAATACCATAACAACCCATCTTAAGCAGACAAGTACGTACATTGATAGGAACACACTTTGAAGTAAAGCACCTGGGCATGATCCCTGAGGCTAACGTCCAAGTCACTGCTTTGTTTGGTGAAGGGGAAATTACTGCCACAGTGCATGGACAGGGTGAAAATATTCTCAGCGTGCTGTAGAATGGATGCAGTGCCATCACCCTGAGGATGTAAAGAGACTTAATGAGACTGAACGAAAAAAAAGTTACATTCTGATTTTTGTCTTAGTACGAGATCTCACTCTCAGTACTTGCAACACAACTCCGTCATGATAAGTTTCAAAGATCACAGGCGTTACTCGTTACAAGAGAGTAACATACAAAGAAAGGAAGGAAGAGAGATACAGTCAACAGATGGGTGAGATGTTTACTTTTGGTGAGCACTTTACGACACTTGAAACTGCATATAGTCATATGAGCGTGCCAGACATATTATACATTTTCAGTTTGGCATGAATTAATTTTTAATGTTGTCCGGCTGCCAGCCAAAGCCTACTTTTATCAAGTTTGGACTGCCAAGGGGTCTTTAACGTGGCGTAATTTGCACAAGGGGGGGACCTCCCAAGATTTTTTCGTCCTTATCAGAGATGGCTCACTCGGTGTTCGATCTGACCTACCTTAAGATCATGGGTGTAGCTGAAAAACGTAACACAGCCGAAATTTCCAGGAAACACATTTGGGCAATTACTACAACATTCGGCAATTTGAACAGGGTCGAAAGTTTGTTTCATTAATTCCATTCTACAGCTTTTGTAATGGCAATTCTTTCCAATTACTTCCAAATTATGGTTTCAACAGCCGAAAAAAGTATGTCGTAAATGATTTAATAAGACTTTCTAAGGATTACCAATAAAAAACAACAAAATCTTGACCAAGAGAAAATAAAAGATCAAAAGACTACCTGTTACTAATGATGCGCATAATGAAAAGGTAAAGGACAATGAAACACCAAAAATGCACATTATAAAACTTAAAACTTCTCCAAAATATGGCCTAGAATGCTAATCACGTAAAAAAAATAATTTTTTTTTAATGACTTGGAAAGACTCTTTTGCTCACTTTTCGGAGCACACCCTGCATGTCTTGACTATTGAAGTTATCAGACTGTCTTCGAAAAATTCTGGGTGGCAATGAATGAAAACTAAACAGGTCTTTATTTTTCCCAATCAAGATTGCCCAACTTCGATACTATATATATCCCAGGAGCACTTCCACCATAAGTGCTCTTGTTTGTTCCAACAAAACACTCACAGAACAGGGCCAACCAAACAAATACCCAAAAATTCGACAGACAAAATAACTATCAACCGTCAGATCTGGTTTTTCAAATATTGGGGAGCTTATAATTTTAAAATTACAATTTGCCAGGGCAATATATATATTTATTTTCAGCTGAGAAGGATAGGCCTAGTTCGAAGTACTTAAGCGAAGAGACCACAAAAACACTGGTAACATCTCTTATCCTATCTAGATTAGACTATTGTAACTCACTCCTAGCAGGTCTGAACAACAAATATTTGAATCGTTTACAAGTAATTCAAAACAATGCCGCTAGACTGATAACAAGATCTAAAAAACGAGACCATGTCACTCCATTATTAAAAGAACTGCATTGGCTCCCTGTAAAAGAACGAATAATATTTAAAATCTGCGTCATGTGTTTCAAATGTGTAAATAAAACTGCTCCTTTTTATCTGCAAGAACTTATCAGTATATATAAACCAGGGAGAAACCTAAGATCATCGAACGATAACACCCTACTTGTGACACCTGTAAAATCATACAAATCATATGGAGAGAGATCTTTCTCATATCTTGGTCCATTTATGTGGAACAGATTACCCATGAAACTAAGACAAATAAGAACACTTGATAGCTTCAAAAGACATCTTAAACATTTTCTGTTCCTACAGGCCTATCCTTCATAAGCTTTTAACGTTAGCTTTCATTATATTTGTTCTTTTCCTATGTCTGGATGAAAATAGTCTGTGTGTGTGTGTGTGTGTGTGTGTGTGTGTGTGTGTGTGTGTGTGTGTGTGTGTGTGTATGTGTGTGTGTGTGTGTGCATTAATGTATATTGCGTGAGAAGAAAGGAAGTAGTAAGAAAGGTTTTTGAAAAATGGGTATTCCAATGTAAAGCGCATTGAGCTACTTTTTTTGGAAATGCGCTCTATAAATGTTATATATTATTATTATTATATATATATATATATATATATATATATATACAGATTAAAAATTTTAATAATCATTAATCTCAAATTCAAATTGGCATTCCTGAGTACCAGTGAAGTAAGATTCCTGGGTCATTCCCAGGCCCAATCACCCTGAAAACCTTTCAGCACCTAGGCAGGGCCAAAAACTACGGTACCAAAATTAAAATGTTTACCTGATGCACGTCCAGATCCACGATGAGGACTTTTCTGGCCAGCTTTTTCTTCAGCATTACAGTAGCAGCCACAGCCATGTCGTTGATGAGGCAGTAGCCTGAGCCGTGGGCTGCAAAGGCATGATGCGTCCCGCCTCCAGTGCTGCATGCTAGACCTCGTACTAGTGCTAGGTGACAGGCGAGGATCGTGCCTCCTGAAAAAGTTAGTGTGTATGAAAAATTACAAATTGGGTTTTTCTCATGGGAAGATCACATTTGCTGTTGCTGTACTCATCTTTCATTTTTATAGTTATCTCAACGTCCCTACTCCATAGTAAGTAAGTGGAGTTAAAGAATTCTTACAAAAAATCAGAGCACCACATGCCAGATGGCACAGTGTCTGTGACAACTTTTAGTTTAGTTTAGTAGAGGTTTTACGGTGCTCGCAACTGCAAAGGTCATATGAGTTGAGCACCAGGAGATTAGAGCTGTTACAAGAGAGTAACAAACATAAAAAAGAATAAAAGGGGAGATATAATAAGGACGATAGATGTTTGATAGGAAAGAAGAAGCAAACCACACCAGAGCACCCGCCAACCACCCACTGTGACAATTTTTAAATCAACAACAAAATACAAACGAAGTGTATACAGACCCGGTAACCGGGAACAAAGTCACGAAGTACACAGACCTGGTAGGGGAAATCTTTTGTGATTTCGGAAAGTTTAAACACCCAGACCCGGTAGAGTGTGTGTTTGTGTGTGAGTGAGTGAGTGAGTGAGTGAGGGAGGGAGGGAGGGAGAGGGAGAGGGAGAGAGAGAGGGAGAGAGAGGGAGAGAGAGAGAGAGAGAGAGAGAGAGAGAGAGAGAGAGAGAGAGAGAGAGAGAGAGAGAGAGCAGGGGAAGTGCTAGCAATCACATGCCCAGTTGACAGGAGGGAATGAGAGAAAGAGTAGGTACCAGAAACTAAATTTTCAAAGTAGCTGTATGCCAATTTTTCCATTTGAAAGGCCTCCACTGAGCATTTTGGTGCAATTCTTTAACCTCTCAGTCAATTTTAAAGAAAATGGTAGTTGTTTAAAATTTGATCAAATTTGTTAACTTCAGTCATTGGCTGCAACCCCATGTTTGACAGATAATAAAAGAGTACCAAGAGCACTAAACTACTAAACATCTCCACATTAACAGAGCACAATCACTATAACAAGTATATGGAGTCTAATTTTTCGCAAGACTGTGAGATAATTTACAAATCAGTATTTTATCGCCTCAAACACGATGATCTGTCGTTATTTCGACAAAAACACAGAGCGTTGACCCGGCCGGCGCCGCACCGGGCCCCTCGGCGAGCGAGTCGACTCCAGACTGTAGTGTTGCGGGGTCACATGCTTTCCGACTCTTGCGGAAGGATTGATGCAAGATAATTCCAAGCTAATTACTTTATTCTAATCGGCAATAAACTGATCTTTTAATTAATACCTTTATTGAGCCCGTATTTTGCATATTTCATGTAAAAAATGATCTTTGAAATTTTTAACGGTATTTTTAAAGGCTTTCTATTTAAACGCCATATAAGTTTAAAGCAAACACCCCCACCTTTTGGCAAAGGCTCATCTAGATCAAGATCTAGGCTATTTTACAACGGTGAACGCACACCGGGTGAGAATACCCAAAAGACTCGCCTGCAGAGGTGGCCTTCAGAGACGTAGGCCTCTCTACACTACACTTCGGTGTAAAACCAACACGGGCAATTCTAGAAGTAGAAGAACGTACACAAACTCAAGCAGAAATTCATTTTATATCGGGGAACATAAATCCGGGAGACGGGGGGCAGGAAAAGCCGTCTTTATTCGGACAAGTCCAAATAACATTTTTTCATGTATAAAAAATTCTTATTCGGACTCGAGTCCGAATATGAAAAAATGTTATTCGGACTCGGATCCGGAAAAAAGGAAACTGTCTTCGTTCTATAGATCAAACGTTCAGTGCTTCCAATTTTCCGCCATTTTTAAGTTCCCCCCACACCTTATCTGCTGATCCAATGCCCGCCGTTTCATCATTGATACGCCCCCCCACCCCCCCATGTTTCCCATTTTCTTTGTTGTAGAAAAAGGTAAAGGAAGAGGCTAGCCGTACTTAATGACGGCTAGACTGGCAGTCTAGCCGTACTTATTCTTATGATAGCTAGACTCACCATTTACGAAAAATAGGCCTACTGAATTGTAAATATACATTTTTAGTGTGCAGTACCTAAAGTATTTGTATTTGAGACGAAACCAGGTGCCTTATTAATGACAGTGCATGTATTTTAAACCTCCTGTTTTCTAATGTTAATAGGGCCTAAGATAAGTACGGCTAGACTTCTTGTCTTGCCGTACTTAAGTGCGGGTAGACAGCCAGGCTAGCCGTACTTAAGGACGGCTAGACTGTCAGTCTAGCCGTACTTAATATTGATGGCTAATTGTAAATGAAATTTTTAGTTTGCAATGCCTAAAGTATTTGTATTTCAGACAAAACCAAAAGGTGCCTTACTGACTTGCATGTATTTGAACCTGAATAATTAACTTAAAGATCTAGATCTGAGACCTGTGTACTTAACAGGCTTGAGTCGATAGGGCCAAACCTAGATCTAAGTACGGCTAGCCGCCACTTCGAAAGGTAAAATTGAAGATTATTAGCAGACCACCTGGCACCTGCACATTATAAATTATGAGCTGTGTAAAAAAAAAAGACTGATTCGTTCAAATACACAATCACAAGCCTGTGTCATCTCGATTGTTTCCCAAGAAAAAGTTGTGTTGCTGTGTAGAGCTGAGCATACGGCAACTTTTTATTCCATAGACCAGCGCACAATTCATTACATAGATCTACGTCAAGCCTAGATTAGCTTATTATTGTAATAATGATCAGTTGCCGGGAGAATAAAGACTGACGTGTATGCGACGTTCAACACCCGGACCGATAATGCCCCCACCCCCCTCCCCGATACACGAACACAGCCACCACACGTGTGCAGGCCGCCCATCCGACCCCGACACACGCTAACGAGCCATCTTTAATTGCTTCTGATGACCTCTTGACTTTGACAAATAAACATTTATTAGAAGCGATATATAACTTTTCAGGCCTCAAATTCATCATAAGATAAAAACTCGACTCCTGCACAAAACGCCTTTTTGCCCGAAGTGATCCCGGTCTACCCAGCCTGAGGCGAGTCACGAGTGAGGCAGGACAGGAAGCCGGAGTCACGAGTCACAGGAAGTCGGAAGTGATGTCATGCTGGACAAGAATCAGAGTCCGAATAACATTTTTTCATATATTCGGACTCGAGTCCTAGTATAGACTCTAGATCTAGAGACTCTAGTCTAGTCTAGAATCTAGATCTAGATCTAAATCTAGCTAGATTTCTAGATCTAACTAGACTCTAGATCTAGTCGGCGCTTTTTCGGTAGTTCCCACCCCGCATTTGTTATTCGCCGGTTTTGGCCCCAAGCCAAGAGTAGGGGGGTTTCAGGGGGGCTTGCCCCCCTGACCGAATAAAAACAAGGTGGGGGGTTTCAGGGGGGCATGCCCCCCTGAATTTTACCACAATTTAATGTTTTGCAGTTGTTAGGTTTGACATCTTAGCTTGCCGCGAATCAAACGTATATAGATCTAGATCTTCTAGATGTAGGTCAGGCTCTATCAAATAAGGGGGGTGGGAACTACCGAAAAAGCGCCGTCACTTCGTTGCGGAAATGAAGACTGGAAGCCCTGTCTAAAGACATTTGCAATTGGGGAGGACTTCCGTAAATGAGCGACCACTATGAGACAGTGACAGAGCAGAATTGAGGGCTTGGGGTAAGGGTAGGGGTAGGAGTAGGAGTAATCATCTAGATCTAGAAATCTAGTAAAGGTAGGGGTAGGGGTAGGGTTTTGTTTGATGGGGTGGTCGCTCGTTACGGAAGTCCTTCCTGCAATTGCAATCTTCATCCATTCTAGATATATTAATACTAATAATACACACGTTTCGTCACGACAGATCTAGATTATCATTCTTCTGGTCTCTGGTCAACATGCCGTCATGCCGGGAAGAGCACCGCTGCTGCGAAATAAGGAAGCGTCTGGGCGTCTGAAGCCGCGAAATAAACGTCAAATTTCAAAATGGCGCCCGGCATCCGGAAATGCCTCGGACTTTTCCTTTTCTATGAATCGCCTTCTTCGTTGAGGAATTTTTTTTTTTTGGCGGACGTACGCGTGCCTAACAACAAAGATAGTACATAGGTTCTTTACTAACAACTCCCCCCCCCCCCCCCCCCCATTTTCCGGTGAACCAATAAAAAATGGTGAAAATAATATGGGTAGGCTAAATTTTTACTTCCAGACCCGCACACAGACACACCGTTTTGGGGGCTAAACTGCCATAATTTTTGTTGCAAAACAAACATAGGCCTGGGGCCACTAAAACCTTTGCAAATCAATTGTCATTTAAAAAAGGAAAAGGCTTAAAATGACGGCAAGACTGCAAGGGTAGCCGATGACGGCTAGCTGTACTTAATGACGGCTAGCCGGCTGGGCTAGCTATACTCAATACTATTGCTAGACTAACAAACAGCAAAAAATAGGCCAAGGCCACCTGAATTGTACATAAATTTTAAGTTCACAAATCTTAAGTAGAATAATTTGTATTTGAGACGAAACCAAAACTAAGGTGTCTCACTGACAGTGCATGTAGTTAAAACCTGAATAGACCTAATGTACTCAGCAGGTTTTTTAAATAGAAATCTAAGGCCTAAAATAAATACGCTAGCAGCTAGACGGTTAGGCTAGCCGAGGTCGGGCAGACTGGCAGGCTAGCTGTACCTAATAATGATGGCTGAATTGTAAATAAAATTTTATTTTGCAATAGGCCTACCTAAATTATTTGTATTTCAGACGAAACCAAAAGGCGCCTTACTAACATGCATGTATTATAAACCTGAATAATTACTAGATCTAATGAGACCTGTGTACACAACAAGTTTCGGTCCCTATAGGGCCTATTATAATTACCTATATCTAGTCTAAGTACGGCTAGACTGACAGGCTAGCGCCGTACTTAAGTATGCCTTAAGTGCGCCATACTTAAGTATGCCTTAAGTGCGCCATACTTAAGTATGCCTTAAGTGCGCCATACTTAAGTATGCCTTAAGTGCGCCATACTTAAGTATGCCTTAAGTGCGCCATACTTAAGTATGCCTTAAGTGCGCCATACTTAAGTATGCCTTAAGTGCGCCATACTTAAGTATGCCTTAAGTGCGCCATACTTAAGTATGCCTTAAGTGCGCCATACTTAAGTATGCCTTAAGTGCGCCATACTTAAGTATGCCTTAAGTGCGCCATACTTAAGTATGCCTTAAGTGCGCCATACTTAAGTATGCCTTAAGTGCGCCATACTTATGTATGCCTTAAGTGCGCCATACTTAAGTATGCCTTAAGTGCGCCATACTTAAGTATGCCTTAAGTGCGCCATACTTAAGTATGCCTTAAGTGCGCCATACTTAAGTATGCCTTAAGTGCGCCATACTTAAGTATGCCTTAAGTGCGCCATACTTAAGTATGCCTTAAGTGCGCCATACTTAAGTATGCCTTAAGTGCGCCATACTTAAGTATGCCTTAAGTGCGCCATACTTAAGTATGCCTTAAGTGCGCCATACTTAAGTATGCCTTAAGTGCGCCATACTTAAGTATGCCTTAAGTGCGCCATACTTAAGTATGCCTTAAGTGCGCCATACTTAAGTATGCCTTAAGTGCGCCATACTTAAGTATGCCTTAAGTGCGCCATACTTAAGTATGCCTTAAGTGCGCCATACTTAAGTATGCCTTAAGTGCGCCATACTTAAGTATGCCTTAAGTGCGCCATACTTAAGTATGCCTTAAGTGCGCCATACTTAAGTATGCCTTAAGTGCGCCATACTTAAGTATGCCTTAAGTGCGCCATACTTAAGTACAGCTAGCCACTTTGTTCAAAGAAAGAAAATACCAAACTTAATATTGCCATAACATCAAATTATAGAGACATATTCTAGGGAGGCATGCCCCCCTGAAACCCCTTAATTCCTTTTAGATGCCCCCTGAAACCCCCTAAATTCTATTTAGTTTTAGATACCCCTCTGAAACCCCCCATGTTGTTAAAAACAAGTCAAATATAATATTACTATCCAATTGATCTGAAAGTGATCTAGTTCGTATAAAAAATCCATTTATAATTTATCTCATAAACTAATAATTTGCAATGGATATAAAGACAAAGTCCAAATTCACGTAAAGCAGATAAAAAGGAACAAAAGAAGTGTTTTGGAATATATATATATATCTGAACATGAGAAGGGTCCATGAGTAAAAAAAATATCTGCTACTCTATTAAAAAAAATATTTTCGTTATAGATAGAATCTAGATCACTTGTAAATTCAATGAGAGGCCTATAACCACAAAAACATCATAGGCCTACGCAAATTAACTCTTTCACGGTGGGTTCCTCACCTAGAACTGGCCTTATCTATGACCTACTTTCTGATTCTGCCTACCCTCAGACAGTTCAACTTTCAATTTTAGCCACATGTACACGTATTATTATAGGCAAATAAAGGGGGAAATAATGACCTATCTCAACATGTTGCTCAAAATGATTATGCTTCAGCCTGAGATATGTAATTTTGATTAATAAAATGTGTCCCGACGCGTTGGAATCGGGCGCTCGTCAATTTTTGGGCATATGGAGTTATTGGCATCATCTTAAAAGTTGTTTATTTGCCTTGCTTTTGATGAAAAAAAGATCTATCTATCTTGAATAGAAGTTGAGGTACTATTTAACAATTGCAGTAGGTGCGGTCACCTGGTTTCAAGAGTGAATTTAGCAAGAAAAGGGCCGTCAAAGTTTGGTGACTTCCATAAAGTCTCAAGAGTCCTTGAGTCTGCAAATTTACATTTTCGTGCCTTAATGTGTGTTTTTGAACAGACATACAGGGGGCTGAGCCATAAAACAAAAATTCTTTAAAAATCTCCACTCCAAACAGGGCGAAAAATGCTGATTTCTTTGATTCCATTACTTTGACGAGTGCCTGATTTCACCATGCTGCCTCACAAGTACAAAAGTAGGACCGGTTTTGAAACAGAAAGTGAAGAGCTGTGAAACATGGATCATGGTCCAGCATTGGGAGTAACACAAGCTGTGAAACACGGTTCGCAGTAGTGAAAGAGTTATGGACAACACAGAGAGAGCAATGGAAAGGAAGATGCAGGGCAGAAGAATACAAAATTAAATAAAGTACACACAAAAATACAAAAGAAAACACAGGTGACAGATATCCTCAAATTTATAGTATACTCCAACAAAAATGGAAATGGGCTGGGTACATCAGTAGAATGAAAGGTAACAGATGGACAAAAAAAAGATCAAGAAGAAGACCAGAAAGGTGGTAGATGACGGCAGACAATGGACGGGTAAAACCTGGAAACAGAGAACAGCTGATAGAACATAACGGAGGTCATAGTATAGTTGGAGGGCTACATTCTGCAATGGATGAACAACACCTAAAAAGAGGGAAAGTAATTCTCTGAGAATTTCATCTCACCTGTTTCATGCCTGCACCTTGACACAATGCCAGGAGACCACTCAACACCACTCACTCTCTGCTCCTTCTTAGATGTTAAACCATTGAAAAACCTTTCAAAGAGAAAGAAAGAAAGGAGGTTAATATTATTATGTAAAACTATCAACTAAAGTTAAAGAAAGTGACAATAGAGCTTCAGAGGCATTGTTAAGTTCAAAATAATAAGATTGATATTGCCAAATTTCAAAGTACAGTCAAACCTGCCCTGACGGGCACCTTTATAAGACGGCCACCTGTACAAACGGCCACTTTCCATTTCCCCCCTTGCGTTTTTTCTATATAATTTAACTGTGTAAAACGGGCACTGTCCAACGCGGCCCCGGCCACCATATTTTAACACACAACCCCTATCAAACTAAGCAATAACCCCTGTCTAAGACAGCCACCTTAGTGACTCCATTAAGTTTTGTCATAAATTGTGCACTGGCCCTTGGCGTTGTGGACGAGCCGTCATAATTCAATCACCTGTCGTTGTTGTTAAGTAGCCCCTTCAACCGATAATGTTGCGTAGGCCCCTCCCACTGTTGACCAATGGGTACCAATTCTCAGCTGCTCGTGAGGTAAGCGTGTGGATCCCTCATAACCCATAAGCCCCACCCAGAACTCATACACAAATCGTAAATGAGATGAGTGGTTACTGTTTACCCAGTCCGTAACAAAGTAACAAAGGACGTCAACATGAACTTGTTACAGAAGCGTCCCTCGTTCTCCGAGTGGTGGCGACCCATGTGTTTGTTTTAACATGGCACTCTGTCTTCCTTGTCTGATGCATTTCGTTTTATTGTCACCATTGTGTAAAATCAGCGACAAAATAAAAATTACAAACGAAATACAAACCAACATCAACAACACCAACAAAGACAACAACAATGGGGCTACTTTCGATTGGGGCCTCAGATGGGAATGGTTTGTTTTCTTTAGCTTCATCAGTCCTGCCTAAGATGCCCACCTGTCTTATACGGCCACTTTTTTCCTTGACAATGGGTGGCCGTCTTACACAGGTTTGACTGTATAAAACACCAACACAGCGAAAAGACTTCTGCACCCCACCAATTTCACCATAGGCGCGCTATACTGTATAATAACAGGGAATGGTGAACCCAACTCAAACAATACTGCCAAGCATTGTTCAGAAAAGAAATAACACAGTAAAATTCCTTGTCGTGGAACCCACAAGGAAAACGAAAGAAGGGAAGACCAAAGATGACATGGAGGCGAGCGGTACAAGCTGAAATTGAAAAAAACGGGGACATCATGGAAACTGATAGAAAAGGATGCGTGCTCCACTGGGAGTTAAAAAAGGGCAAGAGAGAGAGAGAGAAAATTTATTGTCACTGGAGAGTGTTGCACTGTAACAACCACCTATTGTTTGAGTTTGTCATTTTTGTTCTTTCATGAAAAATGATGAGACACAATGTATTTCAAGTTATAACATTACATAATTGTAATACATGTAGAGTCTATCATGTATTATAAATTACCATTTCTCAATAACTGTTTGTAATAGAACATTAAAAAGAATATTCTTTTCCAACTCTTTCGTTGTTAGAAGGCAAGCAATACAGATAATATCAATCTCTCCCTCTAGCCCTTTTATTAAACCCCCAGTGGAGCATAGAGGCCATCAACATTTTTCCAGCGAAGCCTGTCTTGTACATCCTTTTCTAGCTGTTTCTATGATGTCCCTGCCTTTTCCATTTCCACTTGTACCACTTGCCTCCATGTCATCTTTGGTCTTCCTTTCTTACGTTTTCCTTGTGGATTCCACGTCGAAGCCTGTCTGATGATGCTTGCCAATCCATTTCCATTACTTCACCTGTATGTCTTCCTTTACTGGCCTTTGACTTGTTCTTTCCCACAGTTGAGCATTTGTGACTCGGTCGTACCACTTGATCCCCACTATCCTTCTTAGACATTCATTTATGAAGCTATGCAGTTTCCTTGCTGCTGATGGTGTGATCCTCTATGTCTCTGAACCATACAGTAGAAGTCTTCAGTTTGGTGTTCAATCCCAGTTCCTTAAACATCCATATTCCTGAGGATGATGAATGCCGCTCTTGCCTTTTGGATTCTGACCTTGATGTCTTCGTCTGCTCCCCCTGCCTTGTTGATGACACTTCCCGGGTAGGTGAAGGATTCAACATCTGCCAATGGTGCCCCTTGCAGTGTGATAGGAACGTCAGCTACATTCATTCAAAGAACTTTCGTTTTATCCGTATGAATATGAAGTCCAACACTACAGGAGAAGGTTCTGAGGCCATCTGTCTTCAGTTGCATCTGGGCTCAATTATGAGAAAGAAGTGCCAAGTCGTCGGCAAAGTCCAAGTCTTCCAACTGAGTGGAAAAGGTCCACTGAATGCCACCGCGTTGTCCCGAAGTTGTCTGTCTCATTATCCAATCCACTGCTAATAAAAAGAGAAAAGGCGATAGCGGGCATCCCTGTCTCACTCCCGTTTTCACTTCAAATGAGTCTGTCCGCTGCCCTCCAAGCAAGACACGGCAGCTCATTCCTTCATACATCTTCTTGATCAAACTCACGAACTTGTCAGATATTCCGTAGTGGTGCGTGAGAGCTTCCATATATTGAGTCCCTACCCAAAGGCAAATATAAACGTAAAGCAACCATTACACAACAAAATCAAAGTCACATAGATGATAGTTTTACCTGTGGATGTAGTCAGGGTGATGTACCAACTGGCACTCCTCCTGGGTGACTTCTCTAGGCTCAAGGACTTGCTTCATAGAGATGATGCCATCTGATCGAAGGTACCGCAGAACAGCATGGAATTTACGCATGCAGAAGCGGTGCTTGAGAGGGAAGTCGCACACATACTTGCTATGGTGTACAATGGGGAGTCCTGGAGATTTGTGCTGCTTCACCTTTTCGGCAAAAAGAAATGGAAATGGGAAGCCATGATAATTTTTTTGGTCATGATTTGATATCACTACGCAAAAAGGCAAAATTCTTTTCGTTTGTTGCAGTGAGAAGCCTACACAATGTCACTAATGGTCATATAGTGCTGGGAAAAAGTAAGATAAACCAAAAGAAACAACAGAGGGAAAGTAAACCTTTAAAGAAGTAGGATCTGTGGTGTCGGCCTGCATAAACTGTGCGTGACCGAAACCCATCAAAAGTTGGCCCTCTGAATTTTTTGCTACCTTTATATTATTAATATTAAGCTAGTTCACTCGCCTCGTTAGTTTGGACTTGGAGCTACCCAGCTTACTAACAGTAAGTAAAAGATTTTTTCTAGGTTGACTATAGATTCTAGGTCTAAAAAAAACAAACTAAGCCAGCTTTTTTACTCGACTTCCGTTTTTGTTTCCGATTAGAAGTCAAGTAGATCAATGGAGTAAGGCCAGGACCACTTCTCCCGAGTGCTACTCTTAAAGGGCTGGTGGGGCACCTAGAAATCTTGTTTTCGGGTCAAATTTTGCAAATTGGGGTTAATATAATATATAATACCTGGACATTTCCTGAACAACATTCAGAAACATATCCTTGCTACATCCTAAAGCTGTGATTTCTTGTCAGGTTTTTCTGCGAAGGCACATGTTTTCCTGTCTTTTCTTACCTTTTTTTATCAAGTTTATCGGCTGTTTTCTCACAATTCTATTTTTTTACACATTATCCCATTTTTCTGCTCTGTTTCTGTTCAATTTCAATGTAACTTTCGCAGGATACCACCAACATCTAGCTCTAAATTTTGGCTGGTTGAATTTTTTATTTATGGGCTTTGAAAGCATGAATTTTCCATTTTTTTTCACTTTTTTTACAACATCCCAATTGTAAGTGTGATAAAATAAAAACTAAATATATTTAAAAATCCAACTACCTAAATTTAAGAGCTATACATATTTACTGTTGGCATACCAAATTGGAAGTGCATTGGTCTATTGGTTGATAAGGGAATAAAATGGGATTGAAAAAGGTATACAAAATCCAATATGGCCATCGTTTCCATAGCAGCCGATTCACAATACACATTTTGAACTATTGATTTAAAATCCACAATGACAATAGCACACGATGTCCAACAGAAAATATGGGTACTCTAAGCCTTGTAATAGCCAAAATAGACCTCAGGTGCCCCACCAGCCCTTGCAACCCACCTTTGTTGTGTAATCAAGTAGACCCAAACTGTCCAAATGGTCACTTCCTCCACTGCTTGAGGTTGAGGAGTGCCTGTGACCATAAAAGTTTGCTGAGCACACGAGCTCGGCCCCGTTCAGTAGTCTTCTACCACCAAATGATAAATTATGTAATTTCTGTAAGAGTAAGACCATAGCTGACGATGTACACACTTCTTGCCGAGAGCACTTTGGCAAAGCGCAACTGCTGGGCTTTGACTCGGTCTTGACTCAAAGTAAGAATCTATATCTAGTAAAGTAGATGTAGGTCGTAAATACTTCACATTGCCTCTTCAAGATTAGATTTCTAGGCCTAGCACACCAGAAAAAAATACTAAATTTCCACAAGATGCCTCAGGCCATAGACACAGATCAGAGGTTGTCGAGTTGTTGTTGATGAATGAAAGCGAAAGGTGAAAGTCAAAGGGCATGCCAGATTTCTTCGCAGTTTGAACTTCAACCAATTATATTTTGCCCTATTGTCAAATGAATTTTATCCTCGTAACTCAGCAATCCTTTACGAAGCAAAAAAAATAAAATAAATAACCGACAATGTAGACTAGTTATTATTGTTTTTACTATTATTTCTTATAAACTATTGTCTAGAGGCAGCAGACAAACTGACTAACGTCATTACCTATGATGAGAGACAGGTTGACAAGTTGTCACCAAACTACGGGCCAGATCCGAATCGCGAGGTTGGTTCATTTGGCCGTGCGCGGGGATAATTATAATATACAAATATATGATAATAATATAATGAAAGACGACCTTGGGGCGGGGGGGGGGGGGGGGGTTGTGTGCTCGGGAATTGGCTATCATAATAGTTTTGAATCATTACCGTGATCTCCATAGTGTAAATTTTTTAAAATTATTACGTCAAAAATGTCATTAATCTTTTATTTTTCGGTTGATTTTCTTTTTTCCAGGGGAAAGGGGGGGGGGGGGTGATCCTTTTCCCTTCTTGTTTTGTGAGAGTGAGAGTTTATGATATAACTTTTTACTGTCTATTACAACATTAAGCCTTCTTGATTTGATGACTGTAAGATATGTATACACGTACATTGATCGATGCCCATATAACATGTAGGCCAGGCACGGGCGTGCAGCGCCGCCCAAAAATGTTTAATGTTCTATTTCGTAAAACACCCACAATAATAAAATAAAAGAAGCCAGAAACAAACAATAGCCAAATATTATTATATCAAAACAAGGCCCTCACTGGCGCCATAACTGTCATTTCTGTGTCTATAGCGCCGTAAACATATTACTATGCTATGCCAAAGTCCACGTGTTTTACCTAAACATAATAGTTTTTTAATAGGATATTCAACAGTTTAACCTGACCTATAAATCGTTCTTGGGGATAACCCAAGCAATGACGACACTCGTAGCGAGTTTGGCGGTACATTAATATTAATAAAACGGCACATCTCAAATGTGCTCCTGCCGAGGAGTGCCAAAACATAGCCCACAATAGGCAGTCTAAAAATAAACGCGAAAGACCGTACGCTATTCTTTGCCAATATTATGTCAGCCCAAGAGCAATCCAGCGGAGTGCTCAAGTGAATTGTGATTGCTTCATTGTCTAGATCTTGCCTTTATTTTAAATGACTCTGTGACGTTGAACCTGAGGGAGGTGAACGTGACGGTCCTATGACTATGAGTTAGTGCCTTTGAATGGTTTTGTAGTGGAACAGTGAAATTAAGTTATTACTTGAGTGTACAGTTGCAATACATGATGAACGAAATCGGTGTTTAGCTAACAAACAAATTTAGTACTATAAATCAAAGCGACAAGTAAAAAGAATGAAAGTAAAAATACAAGGTCCTCCTTCACCAACCCAAAGACCCTAAAATTATACACCGTCTCATTTACTATGCCCTTGACTATCTTCAGCATGCGAAAGCTTAATTGTGCACGTCCACTTTTTATCCCCACGAGCCACCCCTGATGTAGGCCTACATATTTTATGCAGGCCGACACCAACCGTGACGGAGACACCTGAGTCGGGTTTTCGATACGGGAAACTCATCAATCCTTTGAGGGCTGCATTGCTCTGCAGGCAACAACTCACTTAGCCCATGATTTCTTCTTTGTCGTCTAGGCGTCACCTAATCCTAGCCTTCACCTCTCTCCCTTTTTCTAATTGTTCTAAACCAGTCAGTCCTCTAGATCTACATTATAACATCCTTGCGATCCGTCACCCGCTGGCTGCGCTAGATCTAGGCCTAGTGAAGACTAGGCAGACTGCGGGGATGGTTTAAGCTCGTCGCACCGCTTGCGGTAGTCTCTGCTGGGAGCAAGCAAAAGTTATTTTTATCACGGTAGAGAAATCTAGGTATCGTTCTTCCCGCACAAGAAGAAAGGTGCATGAAACTGAAACTGCTCTTCGAAGGACCGATTTGAGGCAAGCTAAATATTTGATCCACGTTTCCGCGAGCCTATCTACAACACTAGTAGAGTCAACGGTAATTCAAGGAAGAATATGGGTATCCAAACTGTTGCTCTCCCCCTGTAATCATAATATTGTGTTGCAAGTCCTTGTGTTGCACGAAGTAATTAGAAATCTTTAAATCTTCTCAGACTGTGAGCACAGTGAGTTGTTATTATTGTTTCACTTTATATCGCAGCTTTTACTTTTACATGTATACAGTTTCACCTAGAATCAGTTGTAAATATCCATAGATATCGTAGATTACGGGATATCCTGCAGATTCTAATTGACTTTCTCAAAAAATCTTAATAGTAGCCCTACTAAGCCTATTACTCATTTGCTCACTTTCCAGTTATGCACTCCCTTGTCTGCAACCCATGCGACGCCACAGACAGAGTACAAGTGCATGTGTCCCTGTCTTTGTGCTGGGGTGCTGTATCCCTCTCTGTCCTGGTTGGACGTGACAGTCAGGACCAAAGCAGCCAGCCCCAATAATGATCAAACTTGAGCAAATTAAATTTGAATTATTGCGATTTAAGATAAAGTCAGGAAAAAACTAATTACCTACCTTCAATGATTTGAAAAAACCAACCCCGAAAACATTTAAATATATACAAAAATATGGCCTGTATAACTGAAAAGCTGACCATAGCCTACGCTTGCATAATTATTTATTGTTTCCTATCAACAGGTGTTTGTGTGGAGGTTGGAGGGGGAGGGGGAGGGGGTGGTTAGGGCGATAAGGACATTTAAGCTGGAGCAGAGCGCAAAGGGTTTATTAATTTTGTATCGTGAGGACTGTTACAAAGTGCAACAATTTACCTTTTTACCGATAACATAAATTATTACGGAGTTACGTCCCCTGCCCAAATTGATTTTACCAATGATAGTACATAACAAGATGGGCCACTTCTCTCTTTGAGCCAATTAAAAAAGTGTCCTCAAAATTTGGTGGCGCCCTCTTCACAAAAGCGCACTCTTTGCGAACAGAGTTACCCTACTTGAGTTTTAAAAAATCAAAGTGAAACTAGCAAGTTTTGGGATAAATTTCGGAAGAACGCTTTTTTTAAATGGTTACACTGACAAAAAACCTCTTCCGGAGGAAAGGGTGATGGTTTTCTTTGTTTAATTTGACTTTAGAATGAAAGGCGAGATGTCATTAAAATTTTAAAAAACTAAAACTCCGCACTAAACGTACCCGAACTGCTGATGAACAGCAGTCGATCTGCGCACGCAAGGAGGTGCTATTCCTATTCTTTTTCTGGAAAAACGAAAGAGAGCTTCAAAACAGACTGCAGCGCCATCTGAAGCAAAGAGCATACTTCCTGCGGACACTTTTTAGGCTGAGTGGCCCATCTTGTTATGTACTATCATTGATTTTACTCGAACTCGAAGCCTTGGTTAGAGTCGATTTGATTATTTTGGAATGAGGCGGCGGGGGGTTCTTCTAATTCATCATTTAATGATCGATTGCCTACTGTAATGTAACTGAATGCTCATGTTTCAAATCGTCATTCTTTTCTAGACATTTAGGTAGCTAATTTAAATGCATGCTTAATTGTAGCTATATTTAGGGGCTAACTTTGTAATGCTTAAAATGCTAGCGTTTATGTATTATTTCAAACTTAACTTGCTGCAACAAAGACCTACGGCTTGAAAGAGTTAAATCGATGAATTTTATTATTGCTCATTATATGACCTTTAACCTACTGTTCTACTGGGATACCGTATTAACCTGCCTTTATATACCTAATTGCATATTCGATTTCCCGTATTTGCGTATCATTTCTTCATAGTCGAATCTGCCTTTTACGGACACCTGTCCAAGATGGAAACCTGTCCTAACGGAATCTCCCTGCCTCCTTCGTTGATACTTTACTTTTATTTTTTCATCCTTTGTTCCCGTGAAGCGTTGAGGGGAGATACAGTTTTCTACGGTAGGCCAGCTCTGCAGCTCTATCAATTGAGATAATATTATAATTTCTTATGGTTTCCTTAACTCCTCCAATTTATATTTTGCGTGGTCTACCTCTTCCTTTATGGCTTGAGTACTCGGTGTTAAAGGCACAAGAGGCTGGCTTGCTAAGTGACATTTCTAATACGGGGTGCCCAGTACTTTGCCGTGCGACTCAGTCACCTGAACATTTTGAGTCAGCGAGTCGGGCAATGGCCACCCCGTATGACACTGCCATTGACAGGTGGCTGAACCGTTTTAAGCTGACATTCCATATGCCCGAAAAACCGATGCGAACTTCGGGTGCGAATTTCGCTTGCGTATTATTTTTTTCGCACCAACGTTTTTGTCATTGGGTGAATCCATATACCGGAATTTCGCATGGCCGAGTCCGAAATTCGCATGCGAAGATTTTGTTTCGCACGAGGGAGCGAAACTTTTTTCTTCGCATGCGAATTCTTCGTGAAGTGGGCGGGGCTTATTTCCCGCCAAATCTACTTCAAAGGAACGAAGTAGCATGGAAGCACTAGGTAAGTGGGGAAAACGTCGAAATGTTGATTTCCTTGGTTCGAGAGAGAAGTATTAAAACCAAGACTGAAAAGAAGTGTTTATTTTCAAGGTGGCTGTCATTTGCATGGCAACCACTTTTTTTTTAGTTTGTGGGAAACTTTCGGGAGTCTATGTAATCTATCTATGTTATCATTTATCGTTTAAATCATGTAATAACTAAAAATAGCATTTCACTTACACCCCCCCCCCCTCCTTAATTAAATGCACTTGAATACAACTTCTAACATACATTAATTATAACTTAAGATTGCTGTCTGTGCCGCAGCCACATCAGCCAGCGCTGTCCGTGATAGGACCGAAGCTTCGAAAAGAAAACGACCCAAGAAAGCAAAGCTTTTGAAGGAAGGACCATCATCAAGTCTGGACAAAGCAATTTAAAGCCTGCTTTCGTAGGAACAGGAGTTCTAACAGCAAAATTCTCTTGTTTTCAACGTAGAGTGCTTGCTCTGACTGAACTGGTGCCGTGATTTCAGTCAGATGACGGATGCGAATTTCGCGTATATGGAAGGAGGGCTCTTTTTTCAACGCACCCGAATTTCGTACACGAAATTCGCACCCGAAGTTCGCATCGGTTTTTCGGGCATATGGATTGTCAGCTTTAGTCTGTGTTTCTATGAAATGTGAGGCAGCGTGGTGGAATCATGCTCTCGTCAAAATAATGAAGTCGAAGAAAACAGCAGTTTTCTCCCTGCTTACCAATTTTTATCAAATTTTTGTTTTTTCGCTCAACATCTTTTTGTGCCTATTTACAAACATATTCCTTTGAGGATTTCACCCAAAACGTTGATTAAAGGCACAGAAATATAAATTTACAGTTTTCATGGACTCTCCAGCTTTGGAATTTACCAAGCTTTGACAGCCATTTTCTCGATAATTTTATCTCTTAAATAA